GTTGCCTCAATATAGTCAACGATCACTGGGTGGCATCACAGCACCCAAGCTCTGCGAACCCGGCACGGGATGATGCAAACGAGAGCAGCCGCTAAGTAAAGACATTATCATCCATTCCGTATACACCGTTGGAGCAAAAATCCTTTTAAGGTCAACATTGCACGCACTGGGAAGGTTGGGGTCAGAATTCAGCCCGCACCGCATTTTGTCTCCAGCCCTGTGCTGGTGTAAACTCTACTGAGTGGCCCATAAGTCAAGGACACATTGGGTTGATTTGATTAATGTTAAAACTGGCGGTAAAAACATTTGAATTCTTTATTCATTTACAGGCATTCGGCCAGGAAAGTCACGAAAAAAATTGCACACGAACGACGCATTCACGCAAGCACCCGATGCTCCGTTTTGAAGTTTTAAAATGAAACATCTTTAAATTGTATTATGTTTTTAATTAGATTAATGTATTCCTTTATTAAAAGCTTATATCATTTTACATCTGGAAGACTTAATTGAAAACGACATTTCGTGTGAATTTTCTCTCGTCGTTAAGTAGATGGCCTTGCTGGTGGTTCGATTTGATGGGGACTTTCACCTGTTTTGGATTGCGGGATCGAGATAAGGCGACACAGAGCTGCTGGCCGTGCGAGAAGACCGCCGTCTGCAGATCGATTCCAACGTTATCGAACGTCTGTCCCTGCGCCTCCGTCGTTCATGCAGGGGGCGCGTAGGTTTGCAGCGCCCCCTGCATGAAAACGACGGAAAGTGCAGCGTTCATCACAGATAGATAAAGTTGTGCGCTTATATAAGAGTATCATAGCAATTATCATTATTTATATATTTTCTTTTTCTCCATTTTCAGATGACATTTAAACGTGAAAAGAACATTGCCTCAAGACGAACGAGTTCAATTAGTTTTTTTACACTAAAGAAGGCAGCTGTAATCTTACAAAAGAAAGTCCTACATTCATTAAAATATATATAAAATGCATGCTTGCGTTCATTTTAATGGGTGTCAGATTGAAAATTGAGAAAAAAAGAACCCAATGTGATTTGTTAACAAAAAATAAATATAACCCTTTGTGTCCGTACTTCTGGGCCACCTCCTGCATGCACCGCACGTTGCACAGAAGTTCGGGATTCGATTCCAGACGTCGCCCTGATTGATTCTGCGGGTGCGTCAACCACAAATAGGCACTGCCGTCTGCTGCACGGTGGACGTTCAGATCGCCTGACGTCGTCATTCGCAGGAGTAGGCCACGTTTTTGGTGTGCTGGCGTCAATAAGTCCACATGTGCGTACTCGCACAAATGATTCGTGCAGGATGACACTTGTACGGAGAGCAATCATCGCCTCCCCGCTGGCACGCTAACGCTCACTCTTGCAAATGAGGTCTCTCGTGCATTCTTCAATTCTCATTTGGCTAAATAAAATACAAATTTTAATTCAAAGATTTTGAATTCTGACAGGAAAGATTTTGAATTCTGAAAGCAATTGCCACTGGTGTGGTTGGTTCATGGCCAAGGGGCCGTCCATAAATGACGTCATGCACCTAGGGGGGGGGGGGGTCAGACATTTGTGACGATGTGTGACGAGGGGGGGGGGGTTGAGAATTGTGACGTCACATCAAAATGCGCAACTTTAAATAAATATAGACAACACGTTCTACTTAATTAAATTGACTTTTTAATAAATGTTTTCTCCTACATCAGAGTGCAGCGCCACATTAAATACGCACTACAATGACAATAGTTTAAAGCGATTTGAAGCATGTTTTATTTGGGGGGGGGGCGGCAGAGCTTTGTGACGTCATATTTGAGGGGGGTCAGATTTTTTGTGACGCCGTGTGACGAAGGAGGGGGGGTCAAAAAGCGTCAAAAATCGCGTGACGTCATTTATGGACGGCCCCCAACACAACATAGCCTCGTAGCAGTCGATAGCATCTGTTATGCACGATTAGTGGTCGCTCATCCAATAACTATCCTGGCATTCAGGCTTAACCCTGCCGGGTCCGCGTGCGACTACCTCGTGGCGGAGTGAACACGTAACAGCAGCCACCATTCGCCACTATTAGTACACACTGTGACGTCACCACAGGTCGTAACCAGGCTCGGTGCACTTTTGAGGCCACGTGAGGTGTCCAAGGTTCGCTGGCACGTCACGGGTGGGTTTATAGGGGAGGGTAGGGGAATGGGGGGGCTAGTGGGCAATGTTGACCGGAAGCACCAAACAAAGTTTCACGACTTTGTCACGCACGCACGTGCTGCTGTGTGCTTGCACGTTGCCATTCGTGAACACAGAACACATGTTTATTCTTGGTTCTTCTGTTTCGATTTAAAGCTTTGGTGGCTGCAGGGATTCATATTCTTGTTTCTTTCGGTAAAGTCACGTAGAAGGGAAATAATAAAATAATAAAAATAAAACACTATTATTTCCCTTCTTATTCTTGCTTCTTTCGGTAAAGTGGCGTAGAAGGGAAATAATCAAATTATAAAAATAAAAAAAACTATTATTTCCCTTCAAACGTGACTTTACCGAAAGAACCAAGAATATGAATCGCTGCAGTCACCAAAGCTTTAAATCGAAACAGAACACATGCTTACAGCACGCCACGTGACCACGACGGGGGGCGGGGCGGTGAATTAGGGGGTGGAGCTAGCCCCCCCCCCCCCGATACAGCCCCGCCCCCTTTCATTCAGACGACGCCCACAAAATATCCGTCCGATTTCAAATCGAAACCGCGCGCCCCTTCGATCTGTCTTCATCTTTCATTTGGGCATTTTGGGATTACAAATTGATGTCGACATCTTGATATCCATTCGACTGCTTCAGGAGTAGCCGCGTGGATTCGTCTCATATCGCCGTTGAATAATCTGATTGGGTGGTCGTTCACTGCACACTATACACGGCTAACAACACTCTGCCTAACATGCCTTGCAGTCACGAAAGCTTCACATCTAGAATTAATGCCTCTCTCTCTGCCAGGTGTCGCCGTGTGTTAACACGCTGCACGCTGGTCGCCGATGTGTCTACACTATACGCTGCAGGACTTCATGAGACTTCCTTTTCCATTATTAAATTATGCTAATATGGTTTTCCCCTTTCTGGCAAAGGAGGTCTAATGATGTATAGATGCTCACCCCGAGCCCTCATTACTTTGGTAGTGAATTGTCTTTGTGCTGTACGCCTTTTGGCATCCTCTGGTCTAGCACAAATTGAGACGAGACTCAAAAGAAAGCCGTCTCTGGTGTGGACCGATCAGTTTCAAGGACAATGCATATATTATCAGAGTGTGTTTTTTGTTCGCATTTTGACCACAAGTATTGTGGTTAATGCAGACAGGATTCCTTGTACAAAGGTTTCAGTTTTGTCGCCAGAAAAAAAGGGGAAAAACCCTGTTATTATAATAAAACAGGTGTTAAGAGGTTAAAACCAAACTTAAACCTTTGCAAGGAATCATGTGTGCATTAACCAAAAAACATACTCCGATAATATGTGCATTGTCTTTGAAACTTATTGATCCACAGCTTTCTTTAGAGCTTAGCCTCAAACAGTTTTAGACCAGAGGACGCCAAGAGGCGAACAGCACAAAGACAACGCTACTATCAGGACATTGAGAGCTCGGGGTGAGCAGCTACATCATGAGACCTGCTTTGCCAGTATTACTACTACACTATACACTACACAATTATACACAACTATACACTACGTTATACACTATACCAAACGCACTACTACACTATAAACTACACAACTATACACAACACTATACAACTATACACGACTATACACTACTACAATATACACTACGTTATACACTACACTCTAATGAGAACTCCGCCCTTCGTTTTAAGGAGACCACGCCCAGTTTGTTGTTGGTCGAAGCCCCGCCCTGTTTCCACAGAAACCTCGCCCCGTGCCATTGTGGCAACAGATAAAATAATAAAACAACTTAAACACATTTCGTCGAAAAAGACTGCCTTGAAAATAAACCTATATACGTAGTCGGCTACGTTACGGGGCAAACAACCAACCCTTGTTTGTTCCCGGAACGTCGGCCAATTATATAATTTTCATTTTAAGGCCACATTTTGGTTGACGCAATTACTGAGGTGTATTTTGTTGTTCCAGGGACTCCTCTACCTACAAACGAGTTAGGTTCCAGAGGTCTGTTCGTAAGTAGATTTGTTCGTAAAGTTCAACTACTCCTAAACACGGGACTGGTTTCAAAATAGTTGTATAATCATCCGTAGATATCGATGCCACCGGTTCTTCACGTTCTGCAGATACAGATACCACCACCGCCGCCATCGATTGCGCGTCGGTTCAACTTACGACTGTCGGTCCGAACAGGCAACTGGACATACGGATAGGTTAATTCGTATCTGTGGAAATTCGTACATCGAATGTTGTTCGTAAGTGGAGGAGTCCCTGTACTTATGCAAGTTCTTAAGGCGATAGTTCGTAAGTAGAGGAGTCCCTGCACGTGTGCAAGTTCATAAGTCAAATGTTCGTAAGTAGAGGAGTCCCTGTACTTGTGCAATTTCGTAAGTCGAGTGTTCGTAAGTGGAGGAGTATATGCACTTGTGTAAGTCCGTAAGTTGGACATTCGTAAGTAGAGGAGACCCTGTACTTGTGCAAGTTCGTAAGTTGGGTGTTCGTAAGTCGATGAGTTCCTGCACTTGTGTAAGGTCGTAATTTGGATCTCTGTTAGTAGAGCAGCCCCTGCACTTATGCAAGTTCGTAAGTCGAGTGTTCGTAAGTCGAAGAGTCCGTATAATAGTGCTTGTTGCACCACCGTCAACGCTTCAGCAGCAGCAGCGGCAGCGGGCGGCATCGTCAGATGAAAGCGTTCCGTGCAGGCCACAGCGCGTCGCCATGGAAACCAACCCTCTCCAAGCCCTCATTTACATAAACCCCGCCCCATATCTCAAAGACTCCGCCCCCTCGACGTCGAGGCCACGCCCCTCGCCCCTCCCACTTCTTCCTCTCCCGTGGCACTCCACTCCTCCTACTGCCTCCGAGGTCCGTCCCCTGCGTCTCAGACCCCCGTGTTGTTACCCGGCTCGGTAGGGCCCGGCTGGGCTTTGCCGGAGCCGCTGTCCTCGCCGTGTGCCGCTGCCTAGGACGGGCAAGCAGAGACAGGGGGTGGTGGTGGTGGGGGACACGACAGACGGGACAGGCGAGATCGACACTCACGCACGCACTCACTCAGGCAGGCAGGAACACAAGGGCAGGGCAGTGGTGGCGTAGGGGGTTTCGGGGTAAGATTTGGACACAGAGAAACACACACACACGCTAACAGACAGGCAGGCAACACTCACTTCGTCAGATAGATTGACGACATTCGGCAAAGCAGTTGTTGGCACGCACGCACACCCGCACCCAACCAAGCAGGCACAGGAGCAACACAAGCGTTCGGCAACCGGACAGGCAGGCAGGAAAGCAGGCAGGTTTTTACACCAGGCACACCCGTGCACAGGCAAGCAGACAGGAAGACAGAGAGAGAGAGATAGGTCGTAAGAAGGACGGGAAAACGTGGCCCGACAGGCAGGCAAGATCGTTTAGAGAAGGGAATCAAGTGCGTGGGACCATAGGGCAGACAGGTGAACAGGTAGTGCACTGTACAGGCAGGCAGCTATCCCACACACAGGGGCTAGAGCAGAGGCACAGGTGAGCAAGCAGGCGATCGTACAGGGCACTCACAAGTCGACAGGTATCTTGAGGTGGGTAGATAAGGCACTGGGACACACAGACAGACACTGGGACACACAGACAGACACTGGGACACACAGACAGTAACTGGGACACAGACAGACACTGGGACACATAGACAGGCACTGGGACACACAGACAGGCACTGGGACACAGACAGGAACTGGGTCACACAGACAGGTACTGGGACACACAGACAGACACTGGGATACACAGACAGACACTGGGACACACAGACAGGTACTGGGACACACAGACAGACACTGGGACACAGACAGACACTGGGACACACAGACAGGTACTGGGACACACAGACAGACACTGGGATACACAGACAGACACTGGGACACACAGCCAGGCACTGGGACACACAGACAGACACTGGGATACACAGCCAGACACTGGGACACAGACAGGAACTGGGACACACAGACAGACACCGGGACACACAGACAGGCACTGGGACACACAGACAGACACTGGGACACAGACAGGAACTGGGACACACAGACAGACACCGGGACACACAGCCAGACACTGGGACACAGACAGGCACTGGGACACAGACAGACACTGGGACACAGACAGGCACTGGGACACACAGACAGGCACTGGGACACACAGACAGACACTGGGACACACAGACAGACACTGGGACACACAGACAGACACTGGGACACACAGACAGACACTGGGACACACAGACAGACACTGGGACACACAGACACACTGGGACACACAGACAGACACTGGGACACACAGGCACTTGGAGAAAGGCAGAGAGAGAGAGAGGAAGTATAACACGCCATGGAGTTTGGCAATATCACTGCGGTTGCTTAAGCCTTCATACAGTAGTCGTGTGTAGTGTTATACATCGGTGCAAATACACAGCAGCAGTTAAGTAAAATATAGCTTGTCAGAACACTGCACCGCTGCTCTTGTGCAATGCCACCGTCACAACACAATACTGTCGTGGTAAATGTAGTAAGCAGTTGTTCGCGTACTATTGGAATTTAGCGAATTGTCATTTTAAGCACACTGAGTTCCATTGGGGAATATCTTCGTGTTGTAACGGAGGTAGTGCGTGAATACACGGGTAGTCGCACAGCCGCCGTGGGAGATCGACAAAGTCGCACGCGGACAGACTCAGCTCATAGGACCAGAGAGAGATTTTAAGAAAAGAGAGAGAATTCTGTGAGCACGTAGAGATACAGCCACTGTAGGGAAACGTGGCAGGCAGAGGGTGCATACACACACACACAACTGCAAGGCAAGAGCCATCATGTTCTCTAAGAAGACTCATGGCGATGCCAAGAAGTCTGCACAGAAGCTGCTGGACATCAAGAAGGACGCGATGACCCGACTCAAGCACCTGCGGGTCGTGTTGGCAGGTGAGGAGAGTTTCCAGTGGTCCAGACCATGTGTATTACAAAGGTGAGGTTCAGTAGTTCATGGACATACGTTGAGTAGACCAGTCCATGTTTATTCCATTGGTATGTCTAGCAGGCCAATCTATTATTACAAAGGTAAATCCAGTAGTCCGGTCTATGTTTATTCCTTTGGTATGTCTAGTAGTTAAACATATAGTACGTAGGTAAATGCAGTAATCTAGGACATGTGTATTACGGTGATGTCTAATAGTCTAATATATATTACATAGGTATAGGTAATATAGTAGTCCAGTCCATATTTATTGCATTCGTAAGTCCAGTTCATGTGCAGGACACAGTTACCTCCTACTCCTTGACATGTGTAGTCTCGTTGAGATGAACTTACATTTAAATGCTTAATAAATAGTCTTGGTTATTTCGGTAAAGTCACGTATATAGGAGACAAAATGAAATAAAAATAATTAAATACAAATAAAAAATAGCAAATAATAAAAGCAAAAAAATAATAATATAAAAAATGGTAAAATTAAATAATACATTTAAATAAATAAAAGCAAAAAGCCCACGACGTTTCGATCGCAACACAAGCAGTCTTCATCAGGCGGAGATGAAGACCGTCAGTGGACATAACCTAACTTATGTTCATTGACAGATACACTGGCCATTATACTGAGCAGCACACATGGTGCTATACTGCCAGGAAGCATTAAAGCAGGTATATTTACAGGTACACTGACCTATATCCTAACTCGTAGACTGGTCAGTATCGAGTACTAGCAGGTACATTGATTGATAGGTACATTGGCCAGTTTTCTGGCAGGTAGACTGGCCGGTATGCTGTGACTGGTAACTTGATTATGCTTTTTGGCAGCTACAGTGACCAGTGTATGTGAAGGAACACACGCCAGTCCTGTATACTTGCAGTATTCCAACAGATATTCTAACAGGTACACTTTCTTATATACTGATAGATATACTAAATTATATACTCGTCCTTACACTTGCTGGTACTTTTACCGACAGGTGTACTGCGAGGTACACGTGTTTGCATACTGTTTGTTATACTGGACGGTACATTGCCAGATGTTCACACCTACCTGCATCTACATCATGGGACCTCCTTTGCCAGTACAAAAATATGAGAATAGGTTTTCCCTTTTTTCTGGAAACAAAACAGGTGTTAGAATGTTAAAACACCAAACTGAAACCATTAATAAGGAATCATATCTGCATTAACCACAATACTTGCGGTCAGAATGCAAACAAAAAACATACTCTGATAATATATGCATTGTCTTTGAAACTGATTGGTCCACACCAGAGACAATGCATATATTATCATATATTACATTTTATCATATATTGTTGGAGTTTGTTTGCATTCTGACCACAAGTATTGTGGTTAATGCAGACATGATTCCCTGTAAAAGGTTTCAGTTTGGTGTTTTAACATCTTAACACCTGTTTTGTTGCCAGAAAAAAGGGGAAAACCTATTCTCATATTTTGGTACTGGCAAATGAGGTCCCATGATGTAGATGCTCACCCCTTGTTCTCATTACTCTGATAGTGCATTTTCTTTGAGCTGCACGCCTTTTGGCGTCCTCTGGTCTAACCGTTTGAGACTAGGCTTAAAAGAAAGCTGTCTCTGGTGTGGACCAATCGGTTTCAAATATAATGAATATATTAGTAGAGTATGGTTTTTTTTGCATTCTGACCACAAGTATTGTGGTTAATACAGACATTGATTCCTTATTAATGGTTTCAGTTTTATGTTTTAACATCTTAACATCTGTTTTGTTGCCAGAAAAAAGGGAAAAACCTATTCTCACCTCCTCTTTGGTTCTCTTGGTAAAGTCACGTAGTTAGAAATAAAACAAATCACGAAGTTTCAATCGCTTGTGTTGCGATCGAAACGTTGTGATTTGTTTTATTCGATTTCTACCTACGTGACTTTACCGAAAAAACCAAAGAGTATGGATCCCTGCAGTCACGAAAGCTTCAAATCAAGACTAGTCTCACCTACCTGTTTATCGGCTGCTTTACTGGCTTGTAAATAACCAGATCCGTGGTCATAGTGGATGGGTGGCTGGGTCCACAGTTCAACCAGGCAGGCGCAGAGGGGGTGGTCAGCAATCACATGTTAAAGGTGAGAAGTTAGGGGTCACACGGTTGGTCAGTTTACCGGAATAAGTTGACTTATTCCAAGTTGACTTCTTCTAAGTTGACTTATTCTGGTAAGTTGTGTAACTTCTCTGCATAATTTTGGCTCCGTGCCATTGTGCGTTTTCTCTACTGCAGGCCCCAAGTGGTTATTGTGCTTGTTGACAAGCGGTCGGTTTTACACAGAGTCGACAGCTCAACTCCTGCCTCCTCCTCCGCTTGTAATTCATCCTGGGATTTACAAAAGCTTGTCCCATCTACTCTATAGTGAATTTACAGTTGCAGCCACCCGTGATTAACCTGGGGGTTTCGAGTGTATAGTGAGCTGATGGTCTCAGCCTGATCATGAATGGGCTCGACTAAAAAAAAACCTTAATTTTTTTGCCAATCTATTTGGAATGTTTTCCCAGCTCCCGATAACAATTAAACAAAATCTTAGTTTGACTGCGGTGGGAAGAAGCACCTCTGCAGCAGGACCTGTGAGTACCGGACTTTAGGTCGTGACACCATGAAGTCCAGAAGGTAGGATGCAATTCAAGGAACCTCAAAAAATGATATCCTGTTTCCAAATCGTATTTCAGTGGTATTGATCACTGCGAAAAAACACTAGTTTATGAAATTGGGCAAGCATAGGACCACAGATATTTGGGCAATTGGTGGTGCCGGTTCTGGCCTTTTTCCCGCTTTCTGTGGTTTCCCATGAAATCTGCGTGCGTTAAAAAAAAAGTCTACATCTTCTTGACATGCAACTTTTTTTATGAATGACGTTAAATTAGCAAAGTTTGAAAGACGAAGTGGCATTGCTTGAAAGAGAATGCCTTCGAGATGACGCAGCAAATTCCCTACACCTATGTTAAGCAGTGTGGGATGCTGCCGTGGTCTAATGGTTGGCAGACTGAATGTACAATCCAGAGCTTTGCCAGTTCAATCTCCCGGCACGGCAGTTGAAGCGATGGGAAAGTGTATTTCATCCCCTCCAGGCGCTGACCTCCCCAAAAATTAGTCAATCGGCAGGTCACGTGTGTGAGTTACAGCAACGGTTATCCTACATTTTCCAAGGCTTCTGGCCAGCATAGAAGAGTAGGCCAAATACAGCCCTCTCTAGAGTTCCCTCTCTAAAGTTCCCTTTAGAGCAGACCCTTCTGCCAGCAATGGTGTCCATAAGCTATTGCAGGGCTGCACCTTTGAACCTTTATATTGTGTAGTGTGTTTACAGTGCATATGCATTTTTAAATGTATACATGGTTCAGCTCACTTATTCATGGAATGTCCTCTCACGCATTTAGATGAAATGATAGGTGCTGTCGAGGGGACAACACAGTTGTGTAACAGCGCAGGGTACATTTTTACAAAGATCTGCTGTAGCACCACAAGTTGGATTAGGGTTCAGATTGATTGGCAAGTGTACGGCAATGTTGCTGGCAAGCAAGTTGCTCCGGCTGCCAGTTCGAAATTAGGCATGATTGCATGCCTCTTAAAAATATGATCGGCAATTTCGTGGGTGCTCATTCAACCCAAGGGCATCGCGCTATGCTTCCCAATGCTATTGCAGTAGGTGTTTTTACATTCGGTGTTATTACAATCGTACGCATTGCGTAACAATGCCATTCATAACGCTAGAATTATAGCCACAAAGTGATGTGCTACTGAACCGTGCAACATGCATTTTATTTGGTTATGCCTCCTTGGTAGGAAGTATGTGTTTTTTTCTAAGTTCGAGATTGTTAATCTGTTATCTAAAATGTAATTCCGTTTAATAAGTAACACATAATTATAACGGAAGACGCTGTCCCTTGGAATGTTAAGATTTTTGCAAGCGCTAAACCATTAACTTCTGCATTGATTTTAACATTGGCAAGGTGATACACCGCTCTCGGTCTTTACACATTAATCAGAATGGCTTACTTGTTCACCGAGGCTCACCGTGGCCAATATAGTTTAGTTCACATCGCCTGTATATATAAAGAACCGTAGTGGTCTGCTGGTGAGGGTATATAAGGAGGTTGACTATGAACTTCAGACTGTGGTGTGAAGTAAATCAGTCTGGGTTTTGTGGTCCAGAATTCCAATTCAACGTGGCCTGGCAGGAGTTTTGTGGCAAACAACAATCCATTGACAACAACGTTGTGGGACATAATTCACGTATTGCTTAAACATCACGTGCCTTTGTCCTCTGCTCTTTGTGGTTAGCGTGAAATATAATTTGCCTACACATTTCCTGATCCCCAGTCAACAAGGCATATGTGGTTGTGGTGAAGAGAAAAAAAAGCCCTAATGCTTTTGCAGTAACTTTTATTGCATTAGGGGCAGTTTGCCAAATGGCTATAATTTGAATAGTTTTGTTGTTTATGTGCTTGTTTAATTACGCCTTACATGGCTCAGAGCAAGCTGAAATAAGTTTATATATGATAATCATATGCCGCGTAATTTGATGGAGCACTGATTAAATGGGATTATTCAAACACCGCTTGCCTTATCAGTAGACCGCACTATAGGAGTTCGTTAATGAAACCAGACGAAGTTATATCCTCCTTAAATGGGGTTTTCCATGCTCACTACAGTACTCAAAACAGGGATTAAATTTTCTAAACGTCTCAATGTAGCAGTGTATCTTTCTCGTGGAGGGGAGCAGTAGCGCAGTGGTTTAACGCACTGCGATGAACTCGGCAACCCGAGTTCGATATCCGACCATGGCTAACGCTGGGGGGTGTAAATGATATCTAATATCTGACCATGGCTAACACGGGGGGCTGTAAGTGATATCTAATATCTGACCATGGCTAACACGGGGGGCTGTAAGTGATATCTGAAGCAGTCCGAGGTGCTTTCTATTCACGAG